AAAATGTAAACTTAAACACATAAAACTGTGGCAGAAGACAGTGATTTTAATTCACTTTATTATTTGGTTAAAGTTCTATTCCAGATTTCTTTCTTGGACTCATAATAACATACAGTATGTAGCATTTCTACCTCAAATTTCAGCATCACCACAGTCTTGCGTGGCTATGAAATTGTGACCGTGAATTCCCAGGGCCGTGGACTTGAATAGTGGACTGTCGGGCTGTTATCAAATCCTAAGGTATCACTCCAGACAGGTAGTCTCAACTTATGACCATTCACTTATTGACTGTTTGAAGTTAAGATGGACCCCCCCCAAAGATGCTTACAATACGGTTCTGAAGTTCCAGGGGCCAGCCCTCCTGTGTCATGTGATCACATTTTGGTAGCTCAACAACCAGCTTGCATTTAAGGCCATCCTTGTGATCATCACATGACCACAATTTATGCCATTTTTGCTGAGAACTGGCATTTACTTCCAGTTTTTAGACAAAAACCAGTTCATAATGAACAATGAGTTTGCTTAACGATATTTATTTTACCACTCCCAGAAAAAAATCATAAAATCATTTTGGTCAATCATGGGATGATTCGCTTTATGTCTGTCACAACTTACAACCTTAATTGCTAGGCTCAATTACAATTGTAAATCATGGACATCTTGTGTTGTGTTCAAAATGTTCAGAAAGACGTCAAATACAAGCTAACGTGTGAAATAAAAATAAATGTATGGGCTGTGCTCGGTTAATTTTTACATCTATTTTGATCTCTTCTGAGGTACCTACTGTGACAATGTTTTTGAAACACACAATGCAGGGTCAAAAGAAAAGAAGGGAAAGGCTGTTTCTCCAAATGCTGTTGCTAAATAATGTATTATGATTTTAATAATAATACAAAGATTCACTTGGATATCTTGGGAGTGTTTTGCTAAAATAAATGTTTCCCCAACAAACAGTCTATTCAAAGATCCCCTCCCCCACAAAAGACCCCCATTTCAAAATAGGATACATAAACACTGAAGTTGTTAACTTCTCTCCTTCAAGGAGTGATGGCTTAGTTTGGTTGGACACTGTCTATCTGTGCTACTTGAAAATGAATAGAACTGGTAATCGATATAACCACATGGGCTGTCATGTACAGTAAAGGATCTGTGTGTCAAGACAACACAATATCCGTTAAGACACAGAAGAACAACTGAAGGGCCTAAATGCCTGGCAACTTCTACATTTGAGACCTCAGCTATTTTGATGTTCACGAGTAACAGTACACAATCTAATTTCCTAGATTAATACCTCACCATGCTTGATGCAATCAGGCCCACCTATTCTTTCCTATTTCTCCTTCTTATTTTTCCTCCTTGTTCCTCCTTAGTTCAACTAGATCCAGGGGTGCTATTCAGCAGGTTCTGAAAGGTTCTGGAGAACCGGTAGCAGAAATTTTGAGTAGTTTGGAGAACCGGCAATTACCAGCTCCGGCTGGCCCCAGACTGTGGAGGGAATGGAGATTTTGCAATATCCTTCCCCAAGGAGTGGGGAGGGAATGGAGATTTTGCAGTATCCTTCCCCTGCCATGTCCACCAAGCCACGCCCACCAAGCTTCACCATACCCACCAAGCCACGCCCACAGAACAGGTAGTAAAAAAATTTGAATTCCACCACTGACTAGATCCATGAACTACTATATGCTCCCTCTCTACCTGCCATCTTCCCAGGCTTTCTTTGGTCGTTGTGTGGAGGATAGCTCTTTGTTTTGTACTATAACTCCCAAAATTCTCAACAAGCACCACTAAAAGCTGGTGTCAGACTGGCCACAGCCTGCTTCCTAGGAAAGAATGACCCTTGACTCCATAGAAGTTAGTGAAAAGATACTTTTACCAGAGATGTTGAGTGCAACATGAGTGAGGCAAGTTCTGAAGAAATACCGAACGAAAATCACATAATGAAAGCAATCCCCAATGTCCAAAACCCTCCCCCTGGTAAAAGTAGTCCAATCAGGTCATGTTCTGGGCCAGGGGGGCTTTTTATCAGGTTTGCCTGATTCGCCAATTGCAGCCTTGCGCACGTCACTCATGCCCTTGTCACCTCCCGACTGGACTACTGTAATGCTCTCTACATGGGGCTCCCCTTGAAAAGCACCCGGAGGCTCCAACTGGTCTAGAATGCAGCTGCGCAGGTGGTTATGGGTGCAACTCATTGTGCCCACGTGACACCCCTCCTGCCTGAGCTGCACTGACTTCCAGTGGTCTTCCAGGTGTGATTCAAGGTGTTGGTTACCACCTTTAAAGCGGTCCATGGCATTGGACCTGGGTACCTTCGAGACCGTCTTTTGCCACCAGTAGCCTCCCACCGGCCAGTCTGCTCCCACAGAGAGGATCTCCTCAGGGTGCCATCGGCCAAACTATGTCGGCTGGCGACACCCAGGGGAGGGCCTTCTCTGTGGGAGCCCCTGCCCTTTGGAATGAACTGCCCCCAGAAATGCGTAAGATCTCCGATCTCTGTGTATTTCGCTGTGCCCTCAAAACCTTGTTGTTCCGCCAGGCCGGGCTATCAAATGTAAAGATTTTAATTGGTTTTAAATGTGGGATTTTAAATTTGGGGGGTTTATAATTGAGCCAATTATTTAATAATTTTAATTATTTTTAAATTTTGTCTGTCTTTGTGCTTTTAATCAGGCTGTACACCGCCCTGAGTCCTTCGGGAGAAGGGCGGTATAGGAATAAAATAATAATAATAATAATAATAATAATAATAATAATAATTATTATTATTATTATTATTATTATTATTATTATTATTATTATTATTATTATTATTATTATTATTATTCTGATGTTTTGGGAATCATGTGCCTCAGGTGCAATGGTAAATCCTTTCCTAGGGCTGGCATCCTTGAAGGCAGGAAGATGGCTTGGTTTGGCACCTCTGGTTCCTGTTAATGTGCATGATTTCCAATTTCCCCAGAACATTCACACCTCCAACACTCTTCCTAATTGCCCTCTTCTCCCTAGTTATGGCAGTTGCTAGCGAGCTTCAAAGAAAGTGAAGACAGGCATCTGACAGCTGGAAAGCCGGCAGCCCGGGTTCAAGACCCAAGTGTCACATGACAGAGTGAGCTCCCGTCTTGCCCCAGGTCCTGCCAACCTAGCAGTTCAAAAGCATGCAAATGTGAGTAGATAAATAGGTACCACTTCAGTGGGAAGATAATAGTGCTCCGTGACATCATGCTGATCAAATGACCATGAAAATGTCTTTGGATAGCGCTGGCTCCTTGAAACGGAGATAAGCATTGCCTCCTATAGTTAACAATGACTAGTGCAATAAAATTCACAGGACTTCACTTTACCTTTACCTTACCACTTAAAGCAAGAAGTGAGCCCGCTAAGTCCAAGCTACAGGAGACAACAGTTTCAGAAATGGCCACGTCTATGCCAAATAAATATTCCATTCCAATGGTTTCCTTCTCTCACACAAACCAGCCAAGAATGTAGCAACTGACTTAAACAACCCTGCTCCTTTGATATGTTAAGAAATAAATACTATAAACATGTGACGTTTAGCAACATTTTCGGGTTTTTTTTCTGTTGTAACCTGTAATTTTCTTTTCAAATGCCCTTATCTTACATTTTGGTTCAATTTATATCTTACTTTTTTTCCTAGGAATTAAGGCTTATATGAAACTCTCTCCTTGTTTTATTTACACAACTGCCATCCTGCGAGTAGTCTAAGAACACCACTATAAACACTTAAATAATATCCCCCCTGTTCCCAATTTAAATCAGGACACGAGTCTAATGTAGTGTCCCAAGAGGTGAAAGTGGCTGGCAGTAGAATTAATTATTTAAATTATATCCCATCTTTCCTACGGGAGCCCTGCATGGCTTTCCCAGAGATCTCCCTTAATTTTTATCCCTGGACCAGAACCCTGTGAAATAGCTGACAGAATCTCATATTCTGGATCTTCTGAAGTCTAAATCAATGCCTGAACCACTATACAACCTGTCTTGACTTACAACCTGTCACTTAGCGACTATTTGAAGTTTGACCCTCCCTCACCAAAAGGCCACCTCCTCACACACCCCACCCCCCCACCCCCCATGATATGATTTCGGGAGCTTAACTACCGACTCTCATTTACGGCTGTTTGCCACGTCCCACAGTCATGTGACCACAAGTTACTTTTTTTTTATTGAAAACCACTGTTTACTTACAGTTTTCAGAATTTAATTTAATTTAATTTAATTTAATTAATTCAATTTATATGCCGCCCCTCTCCGAAGACTCAGGGCGGCTGCTATGGGCAGAAAAACAGCCCATAGCAAGCAATGGTTTTGCTTAATGACTGCAGTGTTCACTTAATGACCATTGAAAAAAAGAGGTTGTAAAATTGGGTTGGTCACATGGTTGACTCACTTTGCGACTGTTACCATTTACAGCTATCACGATCAAACTCTATTACGGTTGTATGTCGAGGACTATACGGGTACTTTGCTGGCTCTTTTATTGAAACATGATTTTCAAACTTATTTGCCTTTAAATCTCTAGTCCCTTAAATGTTTCAGCATTTATTTATTTATACATACACACAATTTAGAGGCCATCCAATTTTCAATAATTTAGGGAAGTTTACAATTTTAATCCTTTTCAAAATTATAGAAGACAAAAAAGAAATCGTGAGCAGCTACAAAAAAACCAGCATATAACCTAAAAAAATATCTATCCATCAGGGGCTCAAAATCTTCGCTCTGCCCCAGAACCTGGGAGAACAGCCAGATCTTTATAACATCTGGAACATCATCAGGGTGGATACCATTTGAATCTCTGGAGGATCTCATTCCGGAAGGCAGATTCCATAACAGAGAACATGTGCTTCTCTGACAGAAAGTGTCAACAAACAAATACTCAGACAGCTTTTTGATAAACACTGCCACTCTCTGAGCCATTAAAAAAAAGGGGGGGGGGCTCAAACCCAGTCGGCAGCCCTCCCTTCCACCCTGTCTCTTACCTTGGCAATCTGGTCTGCCATTTGGAGACGACCGTCAAGCTCCCGCCTAATTTGGGCTGCTTGCTCGTCAGGATTGTCCAGCTGCACAAAAGGAGAACAAAATCATTAGCAGCGATTCAGCAACAGTAAAGGAACAAAAATGTCGCCAACGAAAAATCAATATTTTAACCTCCTCTGCTTTTATTGTATTTAAGTGGTCACTTAATGACCACTGCAAAAAAAGGTTGTAAAAATGGGATGATCCGCTTAATAGATGACACAAGTTATGACTCAATTACAGTCATAAGTTGAGGAAGATCTGTATTATTTTGTTATAACTTTCAAATAGCACCTATAAATTCTTTTTTAAATACTTAACATCTGAAGAAGGACATTTAATGGTACCTACTATTCTAAAACCCTTCTTCCCCAAGCTCCAATCTATGACACCTCCTTGGTTTCGCTCATATGACTATATATCAAACTCCTGACAAGCATCTACATGCAGGCCTAAAATCTGCTCAATTTAAGCTATGTATAAACCATGCTAAATCATGTCCAGGAATTATATCCATTCTAGATAACATGGATGTACCACTACCAGAAAAAACATGTCTATAATCACATTAATCATATTAATCAGACTCTATTGAAAGATGTAAATCAGGTTACCTCCTAACTGACACCTTGCCAAGATTTTGTTCATCTAAAACACATGAGGGCAAGTTATTGTAGTATTTTTATCTGTCAGAAATGAAGGCAATTGTTTGGCAGGGAAGACCCCTTCCTTTAAGGAAGCCATGGTCACTCATGCCCTTGTTACTTCTCGGTTGGACTACTGTAACACCCTCTACATGGGGCTGCCCTTGGGATGCACCCGGAGGCTTCAGCTAGTCCAGAATGCAGCCGCACGGGTTGTTACGGGAGCTTCTCGTTACTCCCGTGTGACACCTCTCCTGCGCAAGCTGCACTGGCTGCCGGTGGTCCTCCGGATCCGTTTCAAGGTGCTGGTATTAACCTATAAAGCCCTACATGGCTTAGGCCCGGGGTACTTGCAGGAGCATCGTCCCGTACGCTCTCACAGAGCGGGCCTCCTAAGGGTGCCGTCAGCTAGACAATGTCGGCTGGCGGCCTCCAGGGGGAGAGCGTTCTCTGTGGGAGTGCCGACCCTCTGGAATGGTTTGCCCACTGGGCTTAGGACAGCCCCCAACCTCCTCCAATTCCACCGCGAACTGAAGATGTGGCTCTTTCATCAAATGGACTGACCCGTCTAGGGGCTTTTACATTGTAATAATTTTAATTAATTTTAACTCGATTTTAATTTACATTTAAATTTAAATTGTTGAATTTTATTCTTTGTAAGCTGCCCTGAGTCCTTCGGGAGAAGGGCGGCATATAAATTGCATAAATAAAATAAATAAATTTAGGCCTTTATTTTTCTTTGCCAGGCAAAAAACAAAACAAAAAACAACTGAGTTTGCAAAGTTCACAAAGACCTTTACTCAATAAGAATAGATGTACTGCGACGTCTGTATTTTGTTGGGATCTGTGTACATCTTACTCTGACAAAGAAACATAACTGAAAATACTCTTAGGGCAAGTCTGAATTATTTTTTTTTTGCTTGCAAATGCAAAATTAAAGGCACAGCTCTGTGCTTCGCTTTCAAAATTGAGGTGACCAGTACATAGGTGCATATGAGAGTGCATAAGTGGTTTATTCTTTATGAACTGGCTTATCTCCAACTTGGTTTATTAGTGGGGCAGGGGGGATAGATAGAGATAGAGATAGAGTCTGCCTGCTTACAGGCCTTTTCTTTTCCTACCAAAAGGCTTCACTCCCCAGCTATTTCTACCCTTTGTTCTTTCTATACTTTTTTCTTGCCATCTGATTAATTCCTTTCCCTTCTCTTCAAAAGTTCAATTATATGACACTAGCTGGATACTTCGCTACTTATGACCATTTTTCACACTTACGACCATTGTGGCATCCCTATGGTCTTGACAGACTCTCATTGTCATCATCACCAACAAAGTATATCTGGAGAAATGAAGGCTGCTGCTGAGCCCCACCATGATAATCCCTATCCTGTGGTAGACCTGCCCCTGCACTTTGAATGTTGGCATAAAATTTCCCTCCTTCACCTCTCTGGCTCCAAAAGACATCATTTGGAAGCATCCGTTGTACTTCTGGGCAGCAGAAAGACAGATTTTTCCCTTTAACTGGTGTTAACAGTAGAAGGAACAAATTCATCTGAACTGAGGAGGTCAGTTTAAGAAGTAAATTGGGACTGGGACACTAGCAGGAGAAATTCGGTTCACAATCTGTTGGTGGTTGGTGATTGAAACACATAAGGGAATATCTCTCCCGCTGCCTTGAGTCCGGAAGCAATTCCATTTTATTTTTATTATTTTATTTATTTATTTGTCAAGAACGTATTAGGAAATAAGTATAAACATGGATTGGATACATAAAATAGATACAAATAGAGGAAACATTAGGACAGGGACAGTAGGCACGCTGGTGCTCTTATGCACGCCCGTAACAGACCTCTTAGGAATGGGATGAGGTCAGCATTGTAAGCCGCCCTGAGTCTCCGGAGAAGGGCAGCATATAAATCGAACCAATAAATAAATAAAATAAACAGTGGACGGTCTTAGGTTAAAATTTTGGAGGTTTTGGGATGAAACCACAGAGTCAGGTAGTGCATTCCAGGCATTGACCACTCTGTTGCTGAAGTCATATTTTCTGCAATCGAGTTTGGAGCAGTTCACTTTAAGTTTGTATTCCATAGGTGGAAGGTGTGGAGATTTTGGTGAGGTAGTAACGTTTAGTTCTGTAAGGAGCCCCAGACCGCTCCTGAGTGAAGGAGTGGAACGTCTGCCAGTTTGAACTGAGGTAACGGAATGTGAGGCAAGTGGCAGTTGGAACTTTTCAGGTGGGGAGGGGGAGTAGAACGTCTAACTCCTTAGCATCAGAGAGTGTTAATATACTGTATATAAATATACTGTATATGAAATACTAATGATCTGATGGTCATTTCAAAAAATCCTTTCTTAGTGAGCACCTAGAAGCCAAGAGGAACATACGTGGGAAATTTTAAGTTTGTAGGCTTTACGGTTCTGGAGATTTTGTGATGAGTGAGTGGATTTGGTATATATATAGAGAGATTATATATAGTCAAACTGACCCACACAAAAATCAGATGTGAAAGGAGATCAGTACAGGTACTCCCTTACTTAAAACCATTCATTAGTAATCATTCAAAGTTACAAAGGCATTGAAAAAAGTGGCTTACGGCGGTTCCTCACTCTTATGACCATTACAGCATTCCCCATGGTCATGTAATCAAAATTTGGGAACTTGGCAACCGGCATATATGCATCATGACGGTTGCAGTTTCCCAGAGTCATGTGATCACAATTCCTGGGGGGGGGAATCATGTGATCACCATTTGCGACCTTCCCAGCTGATTTCTGACAAGCAAAGTCAATGGAAGAAGCTGGGTTCACTTAACAACCATACGATTCATTTAATTAACTGCCTTGCTTGGGATGGAAATTCTGGTCCCAGTTGAAGTTATAAGCTAAGGACCACCTGCAAAGAGGCTCATATGTGCATCATGCAGAAACACCAAAAGCTAGTAAGAGCCTGTTACTGCATCCTTTCAATTTTTAAAAACATGTTAGCATCAGGGCTAACAGCATACCAGATGATTTTGGGGAAAAAAATGTATTGTTCTTTTTTTTAGCACAAAATATGATTACAGTATTACAATACCCAATATACAGGTAGTCCTCGACTTACAGCAGTTCATTTAGTGACCATTCAAAGTTACAATGGCACTGATAAAAGAGACTTACGATCATTTTCACACTTATGACCTTGGGAGCAGCCCCGTGATCATGTGATCAAAATGCAGATGTTTGACAACTAGTTCATACTTATGACCATTGTTGTGTCCCCAGGTCATGTGATCATCTTTTGCAACCTTTCAATCAGCAAAATTAACGGGGAAGCCAGGTTCACTTAACAACCGTGTTACTAATTTATCAACTGCAGTGACTCACTTAACAAAGGAGGCAGGAAAGGTCATAAAATGAGGCAAAACTCACTTAACAACAACAATGTGGGGCTCAATTGTGGTCATAAGTCAAGGACGATCTGTAATACATATGATTGTCCAAAATGACTTCCCATGTCTTGTTCAAGCATCGAAGTTCAGGGTCTAAAATTAGTTGCTCTATTATATGGAGCCAAACTCCACCACCCCATTTCTAAAAGTTGATCTTTAAGGCTTGAGTCTCATTTCACCTGTCATATTATTTCAACAGTCTTGTACAACTAGCCTTTAGCATTCAATAATGCAGGCTACGTTAAGTGCAAATGTACCATCTGATTGAATGCTTGGTATTCTAATATTACATTTTTAAAGTATGTATTTCTGAGATAGCAGAGCACTTTGTTAGTAAGTGACCTTTTGTAAACATTGTGAATAAATAAATATTAATCGCTTTACAAGCATCCTGAGAATGTGGCCGTATGCTGTGTGTACCTACTAGTTAGTGGGATGCTGGCAAAGGTACACTGATTTGCAAGACGATTTCTCCATTTGAATAGAATAGAATAACAGAGTTGGAAGGGACCTTGGGGGTCTTCTAGTCCAACCCCCTACTTAGGCAGGAAACCCTACACCACTTCAGACAAATGGTTATCCAATCTCTTCTTAAAAACTTCCAGTGTTGGAGCATTTGCAACTTCTGGAGGCAAGTTGTTCCACTGATTAATTGTTCTAACTGTCAGGAAATTTATCCATAGTTCTAAGTTGCTTCTCTCCTTGATTAGTTTCCACCCATTGCTTCTTGTCCTGCCCTCAGGTGCTTTGGAGAATAGTTTGACTCCCTCTTCTTTGTGGCAGCCCCTGAGATATTGGAACACTGCTATCATGTCTCCTTTAGTCCTTCTTTTCATTAAACTAGATATACCCAGTTCCTGCAACCCTTCTTCATATGTTTTAGTCTCCAGTCCCCTAATCATCTTTGTTGCTCTTCTCTGCACTCTTTCTAAGGTCTCAACATCTTTTTTACATCGTGGTGACCAAAAC